GTTTGGAAGATTTCGGTTCGGATATTTTTGGACATACGCCCTCGACGCCAAAAGGCAATTCTCTAAACACCAATCGCTTAAATCAGATCTATCCGCTCTTGACCAATAAGAATTCTTTCAATAAGTTGATAAATGCCGATTCAAAGAATGCATTGAAATGAGAATTGCAATTTGAAAAAAGCCAATATCTGAAAAACTATTTAAGTTAGATATAGAAAACCTCGAAATGAAAGATTATCAAATTGTATATTGTTCAGACCATAAAAATACAGGGTGTTTGATTTGAAATAACAAAGTTGAATTTGCTCAATATTATAAAACAGTGATAATGATTTTTGAACATTGTGAATAATATTGAGAAAAATGGTTTTATAATCAATAACCCAAAACCTGTTTTATGTTTGGTCAGAATTTGAAGGGATGATTTCTAAACATTTCAATGTTATTTAGTTTCCAATTTTACCTAGCATTTTCATAAAAAAATCAATTACTCAAGAACGGTAGGTACATAGACCTAACTCAAAGGAAATCATATTATTTTTCCTGGCCTATTCAAAAGTGTGACGAAATACAGAGTGTTCCATTAAAAAAACACAACTTCGATATGTCACACTTTTTTGAGTCACCCTGTAGATTCCAAAATAATTTTCTTTTGCAGCTTTCAATCAATATACACACAATCAAATGGAGAAATGCTCGAAAAATTACTGGTTTGGTTTACAGGGGCTTATCGTATGAGGTGCCCCACCTTGTATAGCATATTTGAAAGTTTTCATATTTATAAGGCCATCGAATATTTAGGTTTGTCAACTAAAACTAAATGAACTATAATGATACGTGAAAAAAATAATAAAAAATCCGTTCCATATGGAATGCAGAATTATGTTACGAATTCACAAGAGTGTCCTTTGTATTATACAATACGCTGGTTATTTAAAAAATAAGGTGAATTTCCATTGTTCTCAAAAAATATTAATTTATTCATAAATTCAATGCACTTGTGCCAGCGATTTTTCCAATCCTCGAATCAGTTCTGATGTGCACTTTTTGGCATTTCCTTGATATCTCTCAGCCATTCGACTATTGCCTCCTCAATGCCGTCCTTTCATGGGCCTTCTTATTCTTGGAAACAGAAAAAAGCCGAACGAGAGCCAATTTGGTTAATACGGTGTCTGATGCATTATTACGGTGTTGTTTTTGGCCAAAAAATTATGAACAAGCAATGACGAGTGAGAAGGTGCAGTCTCGTGATGCAAAAGTCATAATTGTTTTTCAACAGTACCGGAAGTTTTCATTGCTTCTCGTAAATGTAAAGATAAAATACTCCTTATTCACCGTTCGACCATGTGGCAAGAAATCCTGATGCACCACGCCACAGTAATCGAAAAAAACAGTTTTTTTGTTTTTTTTTGTTTGTTGGTCACAATTTTACAATTCTGGAACGAACTTAGGTTCATCGATTAGTGATGTGCTGGGATGTTCAGGGCAAGCGTCGTCATTAACATTTTCTTCGACCTTCTGTGAAAAGCTTGTACCAGTTTTTCTGAACAAAGTACAATCACCGTATGCCACTGACAACATTTCGAGTGTTTTTGATCACTCAATTCCATTTTTTACCCAAAATTTAATGCAAATTCTTTGATCTAATTTTTCGATAGTACAACATCGCCGAACACGAAAAACACTTCTAACCTTTATGCCTCTCACCAACAAACTAAACATCCTAAACAACTGAAACTGTGAACATATGCCCAAGAAGGGTGTAAAAATATTAAAAAAAAATTGAAAAATCTCTAATCGATTGTACGCATCCCGCGAAATTTGAACATTCACCTAATTTTTTGAACAGTCCACGTATATCACTTACTTTTCGCCTCTACAGTTTCGAATTTGATCATTATCAAAAAACAAAAATGATGGAAAAGAGTCTACAATATTGATGCTACTAACATGCCAATTATTTCGAAGTTTCCCTCTAGCAATCACAAAGTCACAACTGTATACATCAAAAACATAATTTCTGATACAAGTTCCAATTCCACTCGAATGTCATGAAATGTAAATCAAATGTATTTTCTAGAAACCGCTTGAGTGAATATTCAAAATGTGCAAGGTTATTTCTTATTTGACGTTTTTAAATACAGGGTGGGCAAACTAATGCGAAAGAGATGATATCAAGAACTGCGCCAACATTTCGAAAACGTGTAGAGATCCGCCGATTTCTGTCCGATTAAAAGTCGAATAATTCAATTCATCTTGTGATGACGTCAACTTGGTTGGTAAAAGTCGAGCCGAGAGCTGAATGAACACTTGTGTTTATAAAAAGTTTCGGTGAATAACCAGTGCGTTGTATAATAAATATTAGAGAGTGGTTCAAGAAATAATTTTGAGCTGGTCTTTGAAAATGAAAAGTATACAAGAAAGATGTGTTCTCCTTATCTTGAAACTAATAAAAGCTCTGAATTTGTGAGTTGTACCGAATTCGACTCCAATTCAGACAATGTGAAAAACTAACTGATATTCGAGATGATATTATGAACTTTTGTCTGAAATCTGAGACCTTGTGTAAGCATAACTCTCATTATGATGGTTGCAGCTGACAGAACACTTTGCTATAATGTTTGAAATGTACAGATGTGCGTTAACAAATACTTTTTCTAATCAAACTGAAGAAAATTGGTAGACTATTGCAAACATAAACATTATAAAACCTGGATTTTCAAATAAGACCAATGAATTGATCATGATTGCCGATGCAAATATATTTCCGATGAAGTTCTGGAAATAGTATTTCTCTCCACAGCTTTGATGAAGCTATGTATCAGCTTTGCTAATCTATCAATTATATTAGAACTGAATTTATTGATATCGATTTCATATTGAAGGACCCATGCTTATGCCTTTTTCTCTGTTATTTACAGTGCAGTGCAATCAAAATATACGGTGTTGGTACCATCGTGCGTCTTTTTTAGGAAAAGATGGGCTGTCCTTTCAAAAAAAATGTGTGTACCTACGTAATTTGATGTGAAGATTACGAACTCGGAAGAAAAAATTGGAGCTTTCCTTTATTTTTAGCCCCCCAAAGTTCTGAAACTCTTCATTGTACATCAATGGATTCGTTCTCTCTACACTGTGCGGTTATATACTAGAGGAATTTCGAAAAAAAGCAGTTCCGTCAGTTGTTAAAATGTTTTTATAGAAAAAACGTTGATTATTAAACTGAGGAGTGAAGATGGTGAATGAAGTACGATGTGAAGGAGATGTGATGAATAAATACTTTTTTTTTCTATACTTTCTGTTGCGCAAAAAGAAGTATTGAAAGTTGCAATTTACGGAACTTTGGATAGCTATTACTCTGGAATCAAGAGAGAGCACAGTTTTTTCATTTCGGATTCGTAATCTACACGTCAAAATACTTAAGTAGGTACTATCCGAAATTTTAACGTTTACGACAGGAGCATCAAATGACATTGGAATTGATGTGAAAGAAGAGGCAGCGTTGACGTCCATCTGCTGTCATCAGATTTATTACCCTTTAACTTATTTTGGTGAAGACAATCATTACATTTGTTTGAAGGTGATTGACAATGTTTCATGATGAATTTCACTAGTTCGGACTTCCATTGTCTACTATATAATATGATTTGAAATCCCTGAAACAATTAAAAAAGAAGAATGAAAAATGAGATAGCTGTTCAGGTTTATTTTAAGTACAAGTATTGTTGTCACAAATACGGGAAAGAAGTGTTTCGTAATAAAAAAATTACTGTCACTGCGTTTTTTTAATATTGATGAAGTTCCTGATAATGGCTCTTTCGTTTTCGATTACTTTTGTAGAAAGTTTTGTATATTCAAGACTGGGAGCTGACATATTTGGCATCATTTGTACACACTTCCACATACTTTACTATATTTCAAATAGACCATATCGGGTTAGGATTTCATTTAGAAGACATGTATTTTTTCTATATTAGCTTCTACTTGTATTTTTCAAAGTGTCTGTTGTCACTTGTAGATGATTTTTGAATTTTATTTGGAAGTCGTTTTCAAGTTTGAGTTTTCAGTTAATGTTTTTTTTCTGAGTTGGTTATTTTGTCTATCAGTGTGAATCGTTTATGTTGTCCCTCTTTGAGTTGTATTTGCCGTTCTCATGGAAATTATTGTTATCAAGATTCTTTATATTAACTTGAGGTAATGGCTTGAACAATCAACAGGGCAACTGACGCCAATAACAAATAAACAGACTGGCCAACACAGAAAAAATACATGTGCTCCAAATGAAATCCTTACCCGATATATTCTATTGATTGCATAATTGAAAACACTGCAATGCACTGTATGCACTGTGTGCACAATGTACTGATACATGAGATATATAAATTCTGATAAGTAATTATTATTATTTTTCTGATTGATTCAGCTGTTACTTGATGAAGATTCATAGTATCAATATCAAAAACTACACCTCACGACTTGATCTCCACAAACTTTATTTGAAAAATATATCACATGTTTTGCTAGCACAGTAGCTTTGTCAAGTGTGGAGATCAAGTAGTGAGGTGTAGTTTTTGAAAAAAAAAATATTTATAATGTTGTAGTGTTTGGTATTCCTTTGGATCAACCGGAATACAACTGATTGTTACGAATGTACTTAACTATTCTATAACACATATAAGTTTCTTCACTTGTTCAGCGACAAGTTTTTGTGTATTTCAATCACAACTGCCACGTATTCGATACAAATACAAGAGATCAATACTCACAGCCAAATCGTTTCAATCCAGACCCTTAAAAGAAAATGAAACCATGCAAAGCATATGAGCCTCAACTAAACTAAACGAGATAAACGATTAAAATGAAAAATATTTGCTGTGATAACATTTACCCATTATATTGCAACTTTGAACTTCCAACCACCATAGCGCAATGTCAAGCATTCAAAAGAAGCACTGTCTTAAACTCCAAAAGCCCAGATACCTCACGAGCATTTTCTCTCTCACCTGAACTTGCATGGAGAATGAAGAATGATGCATTATTGGCTCCATCATTTCTTCCAGCACGCTAGAACTATCATCGTCAAGGATTTCGCTCTCGCTGTAGTCAACATTGCGTAGACACCTGCTACATATCTGGCCTTGTCTGAAAAATTACAATTTTCATGAAATATTCCTTGTATATACAAAAACCTCGGTTTTTGTAAAACCCATTATAGTGAAAATCTACAATAAACGGTATTGTTGAGTTTTAATAAAAAATCAATAGACTGATATATTTCAAGTCTGCAAGTTGGCATTTCAAATCTATAGATTGAAAATTACAATTGTGAGTTGATTATTGAATATGCTGATATTATTGTCGTTAGTATCAATCTTTCTTTGATTCGAATTTGTTGTAACAATTATTGCCTTAGATTTATTGATATTCAATTTGAGTTTATTCACTTGTAGATATAATTCAATGTTCTTTGAAGATATATTGATATTTTGTATAGCTTCTTTTAAATCACAGTTTTCCGTATATACAAGGGTATCATCAGCAAATAAATTAATATGGTGTGAACCAGGTACATAGTTGATATCATTTATATAAATAATGAATAGCAGTGGTCCCAAACCTTGTGGTTCACCTATGTCATTTATAATTTGAATCGACATTACATCACAAATTTTGGTTCTTTGACTTCTTTGCTCAAGAACTATCCAACCAGTTTAAAGATTTTCCAGTTACACCATAATTCTTCAGTTTATTGATTAAAGTTTTCCTATTAATTGTTTAAAAGGCACGCTCGAAATATAGAAATATAGCAACAATATATTCTTTCTTATCAATACTTTTTTTCCACTCTGTGACTGTTAGTTGTAATGCTGTTTCGCATAAGTGATTCTTACGAAATCCAGACTGATTTTCGATGAATAAATTATTTCCATTAAAGTATGTAACTAGTTGTTCATATACTGACAGTTCCAGTACTTTTTCAAGCGTTGAAAGACTGTTTATTGGACGAAAATTACTTGCATCACTTGTATTTTCGGAATTGGAGTCACTGTACTAACTTTGTACTGGTTTGGAAACAGTCTCGTGTACATGGAAGTATTTATAAAGTTCAATATTATATGCCCAGAAACATCGAAAGTTTCTTTTAAAAATTTACTATTTATAATTTCACTTTTATTTACTTCATCAAGAGAAAAAATTATCTTACGTAAAGTTATCATGTTTATTTTTTTGAATTGACTCCACTTACTGTTTATGGGTTCACAGTTATTCGGTGTCCATATCTCATGACAATATATACTATTTTCTATCTCAATTACACCGTTAACAAAGTATTCATTGAAGTTATGGGCAATCTCTATTGGATTATCACATATTTTTTTACCATTACTATTTTCAAACATAATTCTCTTTATATTATGTGATTCTACTGGTTTGACTTGTTGTTTTTGACATTTCCACATAATTTTTGGATCTTTTTTATTTTCATCAGTTTTATTTTCAAAACAAGTTTTTCTTTTTCTTTTAGAGTATTAACATTGTTGCCATTTTTGTTCTCTTCCAGCGGTTGCACATTTTTTGAAATTTTTATAAGCTATATCTTTTTCTCTTGATAATGTTTTCAGTTCACTGTCATAGAATGGTAACTGATTTGACTCAATTTGTATTTGCTTTTCAGGTGTTATTTTGTTCACAATTACAGTAACTTTTGTTTCAATTCCATCCAATATTTCATTCACATTGGTTGTATTCAAGTTCAAATTAACAGTGAGAAGTTCTAAATTGATTTCTTTATATATACTTTCATTTATATTTCTTACACGAATTAATTTGTTTGAAATTTCTTTCCTACATCAGTTATGATGTTATAGAATGATCAGATATTTTTGGTACATCATGTTCGTATATTTGATTTATTAGAGATCACATAATCAATAAGAGTTTTGCTGTTATTTGTCACTCGCGTGTAGTCAGTAACAAGTTGATTAATTCCAAATGAGTTGAATATATTTATGACCTTTTTACTATAAAAACTGTCTTTTTTTTAAATCAATATTGAAATTTCCAATTAGAGTACACTTTTTATTATAGAAACAATTTTCAAGAATATTTTCCAGACTATCCAGAAACCCAGAATGGCTTTGATTAGGCGAATGAAAAATACCTCCTATTAACCATTTCTTTCCATTGATTTTAATTTCAACAAACTGAATCCAGTAGTTAGGTTCACTGACCAAAGATTTTTTCACCTTGTATTCTGTTATCCCATATGACAACCCCTCCAGAATGCCTTGCTACTATCACATATATATTTCAGCATTGCTAACATCTAGAGTTGTTCTCGCTTCACTTAAAACTATCAGTGCTGGATTTAGAATAATATCAGTCTTATGAGCTACTAAACTTCCCACATTTACATATACAATATTGATACGCTTATTGACTGAATTAGTAAAAAAACAGAGCCGTCCTAGTTCATTAAACTGTATGGAGGGGTGAAAATATTTAAAAAAATCGTAACATGAAAAATTGACTTTGTACACCTACAAAATTCAGATATGTTATCCCTGATGATCTATACGACAGAAAAAACTTCACGTCATAGTTTTTCAGGCCGTCTGAGGGGGTGAAAATAGGGTGGAAAGTTGAAAAAATCGTATCTACGAAAATTGAATGTGTACACCTGGAAGGTTGAGATATGTTACCCATGTCGATATATTCGACAGAAAAAAACATCATGTCATAGTTTTCCAGGCCGTTTGAGGAGGTGAACATAGGGTGAAAATATCAAAAAATGTCTCAACATGAAAAATCGACTTGTACACCTACAAAATTGAGATATGTTATTCCTGATGATCTATTCGACAGAAAAAAATTCACGTTATAGTTTTCCAGGCCGTCTGAGGTGGTGAAAATGGGGTGGAAAGTTGAAAAAATCATATATTCGAAATTTGATTTTGTACATCTACAAGATTGAGATATTTTATTCCTGACACCCGATTTGACGAGAAAAACTTCACGTTATAGTTTTCCAGGCCGTCTGAGAGGGTGAAAATGAGGTGAAAACTTGAAAAAATCATATATTTAAAAATTGACTGTACACCTACAAGATTGAGATATGTTATTCCTGATACCTGATTTGACGAGAAAAACCTCACGTTATAGTTTTCCAGGCCGTCTGAGGGGGTTAAAATGGGGTGGAAAGTTGAAAAAATCATATATTCAAAAATCGAGTTTGTACACCTACAAGATTGAGATATGTTATTCCTGATACCTGATTTGACGAGAAAAACCTCACGTTATAGTTTTCCAGGCCGTCTGAGGGGGTTAAAATGGGGTGGAAAGTTGAAAAAATCATATATTCAAAAATCGAGTTTGTACACCTACAAGATTGAGATATGTTATTCCTGATACCTGATTTGACGAGAAAAAATTCACGTTATAGTTTTCCATTCCGTCTGAGGGGGTTAAAATGGGGTGGAAAGTTGAAAAAGTCGTATCTTCGAAAATTGAATGAGTACACCTACAAGTTTGAGGTATATTTTCCATCATGATCTATTCGACAGAATAGATCATGATGGACGACTAGGCCGTCTAAGGGGGTAGAAATTTCAAAAAATCATATATTTGAAAATTGAATTTAAACACTTACAAGATTGAGATTCTCCTGATGGTCGATTCAACAAATAAAAACAACGTGTCAGAGTTTTTCAGTTCTGAGTAGACTAGAAACTTTTGCACCATATTAGTTGTTTAATGTAATGAATTGATAAATGTTAGTGTAATGTATGTAGGACTAGATACTTCGAAAACAGTCTGACAACGCTACAAAGTCAGTATTTTTCAGATGCTCTATATGAATACATATCTGATTGAACTGTAGTAATAAATAGCCTCAAAGAAATATATCAGCCTCTTGATTTTCATAAACCATAAAACCAAAGCAAAAGAGAACATTAGAGTTAGTGTAAAAGCATGTTTTTGAAAATATTTTACACCATTTATTAATTATAACAATTGTAACAATCTTGTAGGTGTACAAACTCAATTTTTGAATATATGATTTTTTCAAGTTTCCACCCCATTTTCATCCCCTCAGACGGTCTGGAAAACTATAACATGAAGTTTTTCTCGTCAAATCGGGCATCAGGAATAACATATATCAATCTTGTAGGTGTAAAAACTCAATTTTTGAATATATGATTTTTTCAAGTTCCACCCCATTTTTAACCTCTCAGACGGCCTGGAAAACTATAACGTGAAGTTTTTCTCGTCAAATCGGGTGTCAGGAATAACATATATCGATCTTGTAGGTGTACAAAATCAATTTTTAAACATGATTTTTTTTTAAGTTTCCACCCCATTTTCACCTTCTCAGACGGCCTGGAAAACTATAATGTGAAGTTTTTCTCGTCAAATCGGGTGTCAGGAATAACATATATTAATCTTGTAGGTGTACAAACTCAATTTTTAATTATATGATTTTTTCAATTTTCCACCCCATTTTCACCCCCTCCGACGGCCTGGAAAGGTTTTTCAGCTGAACAGATCATCAGAAATAACAAATTTCAATTTTGTAAGTGTACAAAGTCAATTTTTCATGTTAAGACATTTTTTGATATTTGCACCCCATGTTCACCTCCTCAGACGGCCTGAAAAATTATGACCTGAAGTTTTTTCTGTCGAATAGATCATGATAGATAACATATCTCAAACTCATATGTGCACACATTCAATTTTCAAAGATACGATTTTTTCAATTTTCCACCCCACTTTCACCCTCTCAGATGACCTGGAAAAGTATGACGTTAAGTTTTTTCTGCCGAGTATCTACCCGATGATCTCATCGGGAATAACATATCTAAATTTTGTAGGTGTACAAAGTCGATTTTTCATGTTACGATTTTTAAAAATATTTCCACCCCATTTTCACCCCTTCAGACAGTTTAATAAACTAGGACGATTCTGTTTTTTTACTAATTCAGTCAATTAGCGTATCATATTGAAAAATGGTAGGTGTGCAGAGTTGGTAAATGAAAAAATAATAATGCGATATTTTTTTTCTCAGTGTAGTTTGTGGATGTGGATAACTTCAGAACTTGATTATCAGAAGCAGAATCTGCGTGAGAAAAGGAAACAAACCTTTCTGCCTAAACAGGTCGGCAAACGCTTACTCTCAAAAGATGTTTCCCCCAAACGTGAGGCGAAAAAGCACTGCATGGCTGAATATAATATATCGCATGTGTAGCTGACTACTATCATATGGAAATGTTACCGCGGCCATTAAGGTGGGAATCTTGCACTTCGAAAATCCGACAACTCCAATATCGAACAATCAACTAGAATTTTTTCAGTACGAGATTATGGTTGCTGTAGAGGATATTTTCAAAGCCGGCCCGGCCCGCAGGTAAAATTCTAGAGCGGCACATTCCGGCCTGGGCTACCTGAGATGACCAGAGGAGCATTTCCTGACCGATGGGTGCAGTCACGAGAGGCACCTCCATGAACTATGTTACAGAAGAACTACTGCCCAAGTCATACATTTGTTGTGTTTATCTACCTGACAAAGGTAGTCGCAGGCTGACCACTAATCAGGAACTCACTAGACTGTTCTTAACAAGGTTATATGGGCCTTGTTAGCAGACCACATACTCTGTGCCTATTTAGTCCCACTCTTGCCAGCTGACCCAGCTGATAAGCTAAAGTCATTTGTTCTAATTTGAATTGGTGCTACAATACACTCTCGAGGAAGCAGAGGAGTTTTGAATAGACCCACTCACTTTGGCCTACCTACTTATCCATAGTATTGTGATATTTAAATGCAAATTTGATCAAAATAGAAGTTGTTAGATAGTCATTTGATGCCCGTTTTCAACTGAATACGGTTTCAATCCCATGTCACAAAGTTGATCCTAGATTAGTCTATCGTTGGAATATCCGATTGTGGCTTCGATATGTTCAAGTTTTTTAATGTTTCTTTTTTTTTCCCCAAACAAATATTTCGGATACCAATATGTTAATTTTTTTTAATTCTGAATTTGCTTTATGAAATACATCCATAATTGTTCTTTGGAAATTTGCTCTTGGTGTTTTATTTTAACAAGTATATCTTACAAAATCTTCTGTAACTAAAATTTTTCGAAACATGCTGTGATATATGCAGTGTCTGATGAAGAAATGAAATATTTGCCTCTTGTATTTCAAGAAACTATTTTTCCGCAATTCCTAAAATCATTTTTGTTTTGTCATTTGACCAATCATAAAATCTAGTTCTTTAACATTTGGTTGTTCTTTTAAACTAACTACTTTGTCTGTTGTTGTTTTGAGATATTGCCAGAATTGTTTGAGATAGTTTCAGTGTTAATCATCTGATAGTAATAATTCAGTACACCATAACAAACAAAATAAGTAGATCAACTAGACGTATGTGACGGAATCGGCCGATACTTGATGAAAATCCATAACGTATTCAAGAAACACTTTATTGTGAGATTTTCACTAAACAGTTTTACAATAGTTAAGGCAAATTTATTAAATTCAATAAAGACAAAACTTTAGTGTTAGATAGATCAGGAGTATATAAGTTGACTTGTGGCTCTTGTCACATGAGTTAAATAATGACTATGACATGTTACATTCAGAAGAGAAAAGTTTGAATGTTCAGAAATAAATAGATTTAAGAATTAAGAGAATCAATATAATTGAAAATTAAAATGAATAGCTGAAAATAACAACTATATTAAGTAAAACCCCTTAAATGAAATTACAATAAAATAAAATGCATGCAAAAGATTAAACATTTGAAAAGAAATAAAAATTGAAAGATTTCAAGCCAAGTTACTTCACGATGTTTCTATTGAAAATATATTTAATTGTTCGATCAATTTTTTGCTTGTATTTTATTTTATTGTAATATCATTTCTGGGTTTTTGCTCAATATAATTGGTTTTTTTTCAGCTATTCGTTTTGATAATCAATTTTATTGGTTCTGTCAGAGATTTAAAATCATTTTTATCATATTAGACAATGGAAGCCCAAACTGATGAATTAATGAATATTTAAATCTACACGTTTAATGTATTATATATACAATTGATATTTAATGTACCTGAGATTGGGAATTAATCAGTTAACCTTAACATAAGAAAAGAAGAAATGTACAAACTCATTTGAATAAACCTGTAGTGAATGGAATTACCTGATCTTATGTATTAGTTAATAACCAGTTTTCAAATTTGAAAAAATATTCAGTGACGGGGAGTTGATTCAATTCTATTTGGTCATTCAGTAAATTACATGCATTATTAAATCTATTTATTTCTAAGCATTCAAACTTTTCTCTTCTAAATATAACACCTCATAGTCATGATTGAACTCATGTCCTGCTAAAAGATGGTTTGCAAATGTGAAATTGGTCTTTCCATTCAAGAAACTGAATTAGTTTCTTTCTCTTCAATTTTATGGAAAAAAGTTCTTCCCGTTTGACCAATATAAAGTTCTGGGCAAGAGCCACAAGTCAACTTTTATGCTCCTGATATATTATTCGTTTCATGTCCAAGCATTCCTTATTTAAAAAACAAGCAATATTATAACAATGTCCTATAGCGGACGATATCGTTTCTTGAGGATGGGTAGACCTGGACCTCATAGTGTTAGGGAATTATGTAACATTGTTTGTATAAGATGGTTTGTGAAAAATTGCAAAAGTGTGTTTATTATTTTATTATTGATTTTAGAAATAGTCAATCAAGTCAAGGTAATTCATTATTTAGCTTCCTTTCAGTGGTGAATTTTATTGATCGGTGAATGGAATTCACATATTCGACAAACTTAATTGCCTAGCTGTACCAGTAAAACATACTAAAAATGTCATCAACGTATCTGTACCAGAAGCTAATTAATTGATTATTACGGATTTCATTCTCTAGATCAGGGGTCTCCAAACTACGGCCCGCGGGACAAATCCGGCCCGCCAGTGTCATTAGCCAATGATTTACTGTCATCAATCTGGCCCGCGACAGCCAATGATTACCTAATTGTTGTTACTATTGCTGTGATAAGTTGATGGAGAAAACACAGAATGATAATTACTCGGTTTTATTTACTTGCAAGGTAAAACTTAACGACAGAAATGATGACAAAGAAAACTTAACTTAAGTATCTAAGTTTAAGCATATTAATAACTAACAAATAATTGAAATGAATCACAGTAAAACAAAAACA